AAGTATATGTGAACTGCTGTATGAAAAGTGAATTTACTCTGTAAATCTTCACCCAAATCCTAATAAAAAAAAATAATAAAATAAATAAATAAATAAAACACAGCCTTTCAACCTTTCAGTAGTTGAGCATGCAACTGTTTGAGGCACCAGGGGCCTACTAATAAATACTGAAAACTTAAAAAAAAAAAAAAAAAATCTCTCTATTCTCATATACAAATAAAAGAAATAAATCAAATAATAGTTCTTCCACAGGGGGAGTTTACACAGCTAACTGAACTGATCTGAATTCTAAGAGAAAGGATTACAATATATGAACCACTTCTGCTAATAGCTTTGTCACTTTTAGAACTTGTACCAAACTAGCATCATGTGCAGAGGGAAGAACATTATCACATAGAATCCAGCTATTCTGACCTTTCTTTTCTTAAAGTCCTACTAGTGAAAACCAGCAAATATCAGATATAATAAAAAACTAAATTTACTCAGATACATAAATTATACCAGTGAATTTTATGTAGCCCTGTTACTGAAATTCTTACAGAAAAAATGTTACTGTGAATGTGAAACTACTAATTCTTTTTGTTCCAGTTAAACTTTGTTTTTTCTAAATTTTATTTTGTTATTGAAAATATGCACAGCATAACATACATGTACAATGCGGTGGCACTAATTACATATTTTGAGTTGTGCAACCATTCTTGCCCTACTTTTCTCAGTTATTTGTCATTAACAAATGCATTATCCCCTAAGGTTCCTATCTGATTTTTTGAGCTGCTTTTGTCAATTAGATCCCATTGAGCTGCTTTTGTCAATTAGATCCCATTGAGCTGCTTTTGTCAATTAGATCCCATACAGATAGTTCTTAAAAGAGCATAATGATTTTCCCCTTACAAATGGGAACCAGACAGGGATGCCCTCTATCACCACTTTTATTTAACAGTGTTATTGGAAGTCCTGGCCAGGGTAATAAGGCAAGAAGGAGAAATAAAAGACATACAAATTGGCAAAGAGGAATTAAAACTATCTCTATTTGCAGATGGTATGATCCTGTACATAGAAAACCCAAGGGACTCAATAAAAAAACTACTGGAACTAATAGATTCAGCAAAGTGGCAAGATACAAGGTCAACATACAAAAGTCAGTTGGATTCCTCTACACTAACAAAGAGTCCTCTGATAAAGAAATAAGGGAAATAACCAGAAGGCTGGCGGTTCAAACCCACCAGCCGCTCCTTGGGAGGAAGGTTTGGCAATCTACTTCTATAGTGATACTGCCTCGGAAATCAAGGAGGGGTCGCTCTTAGTCGGGTCTGACTCAACGGCACATAACAACAACAACACTAAAAAGATAAAATATCTAGGAATAAACCTTACCAGAGACACAAAAGACCTATACAAAGAAAAATATAAAACACTGCTACAAGAGACAACAAGGGTACTACATAAATGGAAGAACCTACCTTGTTCATAGATCAGTAGACTGAATATTGTGAAAATGTCAATACTACCTAAAGCAATCTACACATTAACACAATTCTGATCCAAATTCCAGTAAAATTTTTTAAGGACATGGAAAAAACAATTACTAACTTCACATGGGGAGCTCTGGTAGCGTAGTGCCTAACGCACTTGACTGCTAACCAGAACCACCAGCCACTCCTCAGAAGGAAGGGTGGGCAATCGACTTCTGTAGTGATACCTCCTCAGAAACCCAAGGAGTCAGGGCCAACTCGACAGCAAATAACAACATGAGTCAGGGCGGACTCGACAGCAAATAACAACAACAACAACGTCATATGGAAAGGAAAGAGACCTTGGATAAACAGAGCACTTCTGAAGAAGAGGAACAAAGTGGGAGGTCTCCCACTCCCGGATCTTAGGAACTGCTATACAGTCACGGTAGTCAAAACAGCATGGTACTGATACAATGATAGACAGACAGACCAATGGAACGGAATCGAAAGTCCAGACATAAACTCATCCATCTATGGATAACTGATCTTCGACAAAGGTCCAAAATCCATTAAATGGGGAAGAAACAGCCTCTTTAACAAATGGTGCTGGCAAAACTGGATATCCACTTAAAGAAAAATGAAACAAGACCCACACCTCACCCCATACACAAAACAAACTCAAGCTGGATCAAAGACTTAAATGTAAGACCCAAAACTATAAAATTCATTGAAGATAAAGAAGGGGCAAATCTGGGGGCCCTAATTTATGGCATAAATAGACTATCAAGCATAACCCAGAATGCGCAGGAGTTAGAAGAGAAGCTAGATGACTGGGATCTCTTAAAAATTAAATTCTTATGTGCATCGAAAGACTTTGTCAAAAGGGTAAAAAGAGAACCTACAAATTGGGAGAAAATATTTGCCTATGATATATCTGATAAAGGACTTATCTCCAAAATCTATAAAAAACTTCAACACCTCAACACCAAAAAGACAACCCAATTCACAAATGGGCAAAAGGCTTGAACAGGCACTTCACCAAAGATACACTGGCAGCCAACACATGAGAAACTAATTGCGGTCATTAGTCATTAGAGAGATGCAAATCAAAACAACTATAAGATATCATCTCACCCCAGCAATAAGAGCAAAGTTCAATAGGTCAGAAAATAACAAATGGTGGTGAGGTTGTGGAGAGATTGGAACTCTTGTAACACTGCTGGTGGGATTGTAAAATGGTACAACCATTGTGGCATATGGTATGGTGTTTCCTTAAAAAATTAAAAATAGAAATACCATTTGACCCAGCAATTCCATTACTAGGAGTGTATCCTAAAGAGATGAGAGACAGTGCACGAGAAGACATATAATATATACACCTATATTCATAACAGCACAATTCACTATAGCAAAGAGATGGAAACAACCTAAATGTCCTTCAATGGATGTGTGGATAACCTAATTATGGTACATGCACACAATGGAATACTATGCTACATTAAAGAACAATGAGGGATATGCAAATCATCTCACAACATGGATGAACCTGGAGGATATTATGCTGAGTGAAGTTAAGTCAATCACAGAAGGACAAACACTGTATGAGCCCATTACTGTAAAGAGACAAAGAAGGGTTTGCTTGTGAAAGAGAACTCACTTTATAGGTTACTGGGGTGAAGAGGGAAGAGGATGAATTAATTCTGGGCTAGTTCGGGCCCACACGCTGACATGGGTAAGGGTATGGATGTATGGAAAGAGTCTGTGACCTCCATGATAACATTAGGAAAAGGGAGGACACTGAATTGTGCACATAGGAGATAAACGACAGATGCTAATACCAACCAGTGTATCCACAATACTGCATTACAATTAACACCAAATGCCAGGCTACAGATAAACACATAAACACCTGAGAGGATCAGATGGGGATCAGTGAACAGGAGTATACTCTAGAGTATACTAGATTCAGCACAGGCTAATCTTGCACAGATACCAGTGATATAAAATACCTGCAATCCTTACAGAAACAACAGAAGACAGACACACAGCAATCCCTCACAGACACCCAGACACTGTGGGAGAGAGATCCAATGGATCTACCATCTCAGGACCACAGTACTGGGGGATACCAGACTTAACTGGCAAACAAAATATACGAAAACCTTGTTCCTCATCCTACATTGGTGAGTAGTGACTGGGGTCTTAAAAGCTTTCAAGCTGCCATCTAAAATGCACCTAATGGTCTCCTAGCATCAGAAGCAAAGAGGAGTGCAAAAAAACAAGGGCATTTGGAAGCAATCAGCCCTAGGACACAATGGCCTTCAAGACCAGAAGAACTAGATGGTGCCTGGCTACCAATGCCAACCACTCAGGAAAGGATCAAATCTGGAGATCCCAGATAGAGTCAGAGGGAAAACGTGGAACAAAATCCAAAAACTCAATAAGACCAGAATTACTTATCAGATGGAGTCTGGTGAGATCCCCAATACTATGGTCCTGGGTACATTCTGGGCCTGGAATAAAGCTCACTCCTAAGGGTTGGCTCTCAGCCCAAAAGTTAACAAGATGTACATGCAGACCACTCACCCCAGGGTGATGCACCCACATACTTTATGGAGATACATCCCTTGGAACAATAGACCACGGGGCACCAGAGGGGCAACATTCACATGGAGGAAATGCAAGACAAACAGGAGTGCATAAATATGAGGGGCACAGGGGAGAGGGTTACTGGGCAGCAAGGGAAGGAGACTGGGTTAGGGTTGGGGATGGTAAACGGGGAGTGAAACTAAATGTACCCATAATGTTGAATAAAAACAAACTCTTAAAATAAAAAAATAAAAGAGCATAATGGTCAAGGCAGATTCTTTTTAATAGTTAAGCTAAACTTTTGTTTGATTTTAAAATGACTTGAGGGAGTATTTTTGGTTTAAAGATTATCTCAGGGCAATTGTTTATGGGGAATGATCCAGCCACCATGCTTCAGAAAGTCTAGAGTCCATGAGAGTTTAAAATTCATTCTGTATTTTTCCTCATTTGATCAGGATTCTTCTATGGAATCATTGACCAAAATGTTCAGTAATGATAGCTAGGCACCATCCAGTTCTGGTTTCATAGCAAAGGAGGCATCTGTGTGCATGGAGGCAATTAGCCACACATTTTACATCCTCCTCTTTCTTATTCCTGACTCCCTTCCCCTATTGGTCCAGATGAAGAGAGCCCAACTGTTGTGCATTCCATGGCCATCTGTAGGCTTTTAAGAACCCAGGCACTATGTAATGAACTAGGAGGTAGAACAGAAGCACTAAACACATTATTCAGCCAATTAACTGGTATGTCCCATGAAACCATGACCTAAACCTCCAAATGGGAAGCAAATCCCATCAGGTGTTTGGCTGTACATAAGTAGCCTCAGTAGCTATTCTTTTTGTTTGTTTGTTTGTTATTATAAATATATCTATCAATACCCAAGTTCTGCCAATTTACCTTTTTGTAAGTGTATACAACGTACCAACAGCAGTATAATAATCAGTGTGTAATCCAATCCTTAATGCAATTTTCCATTAGCATTTGTTGTTGTTGTTGTGTGCCACTGAGTCAGACCTGACTCACAGCGACCCCTCCTTGGGTTTCTGAGGCAGTATCACTATAGAAGTAGATTGCCCAACCTCCCTTCCGAAGAGTGGTCCTCCCTCTTGCCCCTGGTAACCAGTAATAAACTTTATCCTCTATACATTTGCCTTTTCTTGTCTTTTTATGTAAGTGAGGTCATATAATAGATGTCCTTTTCTGATTGGCTCATTTGCTCAGCATAATGTTTTCATGTTCCATCCATGCTGTACTGAAGAAAGATCATTATCATACAGAACCCAGCTATTTTTGACCTTTGTTTTCTTAATCCTAACAATGACTACTAGAAAAAACTAGATATAATAGGGAGTTCTGGTAGTGCCTAAGGTATTTGACTGCGAACCAGAAGGCTGTCAGTTTAAATCCACCAGTCACTCCTCGGAAAGAAGGTTGGGGAATCTACTTCCATAGTGATACCGCCTCGGGACCCCAAGGAGGGGTCACTATGAGTCAGATCCAACTCGATGGAAAAACTAAATTTACTCAGTGATACATATGCTGTAGCAGTGAATATATAAAATTCTCTATTACTGAAATGCCTATAAAAAATGTTGTTGTGAGTCTGAAACTCTGCTAATTCTTTTTGTTCCATCTGAATTTCTGTTTTTATAATGTATTATTTGATGGCAACTGGTTTCTTAAAAACATAACTGATTTGTTAGAGTAGAGCTAACAGAGTAGAACTGCCCCGCAGGGTTTTCTTGGCTATAATCTTTGTGGAACCAGATCACCAGGTCTTTATACCGCAGAGCCACCAAGTGGATTTAAATCTGACTTGATTGGCAACCGAATACTTATAGCACCCCAGAAAAAAATTATTCCTCCTATGATACGAGTAAGAGCTCTGGTGCCTAGGGCACTTGACTGCTAACCAGAAGGCGGCGGTTCAAATCCACCAGCCACTCCTCAGAAGGAAGGTTGGACAATCTACTTCTGTAGTGATACCGCCTTAGAAACTCAAGGAGGGGTTGCTGTGAGTTGGGTCCGACTTGACGGCACATAACAACAACATGATACAAATATTGGGAAAGCCTTTTCAATTGCCTTTTTCTGATTCTGAAAATGTATTTTGTGATCAGTAAACCCAAAATGTTTACCTAGAAATGCCTTTTTAAATTATATTTTTAATAGGAAAAACAAAAGGCCTTAAACATATGAGAGAATATGAGCCTCTCATACCCACTTTTTACAGACACAATTATGATTAATGTTCCTTTATCAATGCAATCACATCTTTTACTTTTTCAGATAAATGACTTGCTGTTGTGTAGAATGTACCTAAAACATGGTAGGTAACCACTGTTGTATTTCTCAAACTCCCTGTTGACTTTTATATAGTAGAGATTTCAAACAGAAAATGAAAATAAATTTTAGCCATGGCTTTTTTTAGCTGGCAATATACCAGAATTGTCACTCACTCAAAGAAAAAAAAACACTCGCCAGCCATGATAATAAGTAAAGTATTATGCCACTGTGATAAGACAGCTGAATAGGTGAATAGGAGCATTAGTAACTTGCTCAAGTCCCTCACTGAATCAGACTCCAGATGTGTGACACAGTAGAATGATGCTTAGTTACTAATTTAACAAAGGACATCACACTACCTCCTCATAAGTGGAACTAGGAGGAGTTGCAAACAGCATTTTAGCAATTCTTCTTTGATACCAAGGCATCTCAGCAAATGTATAACACCTGTAGGGAAATAACATGTTTATACTGCAGCTTCTTTGTTTTCTCTTAAAGAGAACTAAGCATCTCAATAGATATTATAAAAGGAATTTTTTCTGCTGTACTTTTGAAAATTAGTACTTTACATGATATCCAGTAGGTTAATAATCTTAATGAATTATCTAGAGACTGAATGATATCAGTCCATCAGCTGGTATACTTTGTGATCAAATATAAATAGTAGGCTTTAATAATAATGGTAATACAGCATATCATCCACTAAGTGCTCACTCGGTGCCAGGTGCCAGAGTAAGTGATTATCTCCCTCTCACCAAACTCCTTACCACATGAGATATGTTTCTAAGATAGTATCTATATGAGATAGTATCATTACTACTATTTTTCACAAAATCTTTTTAAAAAACAAACTCAGAGAACTACAATACTTAATCAAAAAAAGGACAAAACTAAACATGATTAAAAAAAAAAAAACTGCAACCAATACTCTAAGACTACATTTTTAACAGGCACGATAAATGATTAACATCCATGAATTTTATATCTTTCTAAATTAAGTAGGAAAGAAGTGTTGGATCTCTGCTAAGAGTCTGAACTTGGCAACAGAGATTATACATCATTCATATGTTTGATTACTGGCATCTGACTTAACGTCTGTCCTTCAATTATCACTAATTCCGGTATTTAATTCACTATGTCCTTTATCTCTTTTAAAAGAGTTTGATACAGGACAGTGTACACTGTTACCCTTCTTAGATGACAATATTTACCTCTGCAGCCCACAGCAGAGAAAACCGTGGCCAACCTGTCTCAAGAAAGATTCTTAAAGCAACAAGCATTTAATACACTGGCACACCCTCACACCAACAAAATAATGGTCTATGTTGGACACAGGGTCACCTAAAAATGAAAGATATAGAAAGTAAAATTATGTTGTTTCTTATAATACAGTCAGAATATACTGACAAAGTTGGAAAACAAAGACCCTTTTAGGGCCTTCCACTGTATTACTATATTTGCTGTTGCTGTTGCTATTATGTGCCATCAAGTCAGACCTGACTCACAGCAACCCCTCCTTGGATTGCTGAGGCAGTATCACTACGGAAGTAGATTGCCCAACCTTCCTTCCGAGGAGTGGCCGGTGGGTATGAACCGCCAGCCTTCTGGTTAGCAGTCAAGTGCCTTAGGCACTATGCTACCAAAGCTCCCGTTACTATATTTAGATTAATCCAATTTCATTTAGCCTGATAAATAAGAACACTCTCTCCCAACAAAGGGAATTTAAAGGTTTAACAAAAAGTTATAATAAGGCTTCTGAAGTCTGTGGCATAGTGCCTAAGGCAGGTTAACTGCTAACCAGAAGGCTGGTGGTGCAAACCCACCAGCCACTCCTCGGAAGAAGGCTGGGCAATATACTTCCATAGAGATGCTGCCTCAGAAACCCAAGAAGGAGTCGCTATGAGTCGGATCTGAGTCGACAGCAGTGAGTTTGGTTTCTTTGGTCTTTTGAAGTCTGAGTATGCTTCTAAATGATTCGAATAACAATGTTTAACATGTTCACAATCAAATTTAGTATTTTCTAACAACACATGCAAAGGTGCTAATTAACTTAATGAATGTAAGAAATTGTGCTAAGTATTTCTAAATACTTTGCATTTTGTTTTACATTCCATAATGTTTACATATACTATAATATATACTATAATAAGATCACACTAAGTATCGATGAAATATTTATTTAAAGAAATTTTCTTACCAAATACCCATAAGGTGAATTGAAGTAGCATCTTTAGGGTTCAGTTCAACTGCTTTCTAATAAGAAATGAGAAAATTGGTCATATTTGTTTTCTAAACACCAGTAAGCACTTTACTATGTTTGCTAAAGTAGCCATGAATAAAAAAAATATACAAACTTGAATCTCAATTGTGCAATCACAGTTAACACCCCCCTCTTCCTCCTAATTCTTAGATTACATTCATTTTGCTATGCTATTAATGACTTTTACCAAGATCATTATTCTAAGGTTGAGAAAATGCTTGTAGAAGTCATCAAGATACAAAAAACATGAAATATATAAATGAAGCTAACTTGGAAAACAATAATAATTTATAGCTCTCAATGTTTCTTTCTTCTAAATCCAAAGAAAAATAAACAAGAAAGTCCTTTTTTGGCAAGTCCCATACAAATAGTGAATGAAATGCATTCTGCCTTAAGACAAGAACAAAAACTACATCATAATTTTAGAAAGTCTGTGTGTAGGATTTTGTTCAACTTTCCCATCTTTACTTTCCAAAGAAAAAATAAATACTATTTATTCATGGAATATATTAACTCATAGAATAATTATGTACAATGTAAAAGATGTGGATAAAATCTCCCTAATTTCCATTTACTATGTAAGAGTCTTAGGTGAATTAGTATAAAGCATAAACTACAGAATTAAACTACAGACTTTAAACTTTAAGGACTTTGAAGAAATTACTCTCTCTTCATCCATTATTCTGTTGAAAAGCACTAAGGACATTTCACCAATTAATGTTAATCTCATTAAATTAAAACTCTTTTTTAAAAATTAAAACACTGTAGTGTATGCTTTTCTGTAAACCCACATTTTCATTTTTCATTTGGTAATGTAAGGTACACATTTTCAAGTATTTATAATGGTTAAGAACATGGGCTCTAGAGTCTGACAGATAAGGTTCCAATCACAGCTCAATGTTCTGCAACTTGTTGACCTTGGCACATTCTGTATCTTCATTATACCTGAGCTTGTTCTTTTGTAGAACTTCTTCATCGGGCTGTGGTGAAAATTAAATGAGCGAGTAGCAGCAGGTGCTTAAACACAGTGCCTGGCCCATAGCTTCTATCACCATTATTATTTCCATTTATAGTAAGTACCAGTCACTCAATTTACTGTGTCCTGGTGGCACAGTGGTTAAGTGCTTGGCTGGAAACTGAAATGTCAGCAGCTTAAACCCACTAGCCATTCTGAGGGAGAAAGATATGGCAGTCTGCTTCCATAAAGATAACAGCGTAGGAAACTCTATGGGCCAACTGTACTCTGTCCAACAGGGTTGCTATGAATCAGAGTTGACTCAATGGCATACAACAACATTGATTAATGTTATTAGTAGTAGGAGAGCCAAAAGCTAGCATAAAGATATACAAGGATGACTTGGCAGAGATCTTGCTATAGTAATGTAGGTAAGAATCAGTACTGACCTAAACTTTACTTCTCCTTCAATACAGTGACATGATTTATAGCAAAACTTATTTTAAAGTACTTAAGTACAATGTATACTATTCTAAGCAACCTTTCACTACTGGAGTTCCACCAGAAAATTAAGCCCCACAAAAATGATACGAGTGACTATTTTCTCAATTCTCCCAAGAATGGTACAGAGCTGGTACCATTCTAGCTGCATAAGAAAGAAGTTAACATCACATAAAATGGATGCCTTGGGCATTAGGGCCTAATTTTCTTATGGAATAGGCTAAGAGGAGTTGCTATGAAATAAACCCTTTTTTTTACAATTCCTCCTGCCATTAGTGAAACCATCTTTCAAAAACAATCCAAAGATGATGGTAATTCATTATGACTTTAGATATAATAATGGATTCAAAACTGAAACAGTATAAATTGATTTATTTCAGTCAATGGGATATTAGCAGGTATGGCAGATTTGATAAAAGCTTGCTATAAAGGAGCTTTTCTCTTACAACACTCACTCTTGCAAGCCAGCAACCATGCTATAAAGAAGCTTGGGCTTGACTACTGAAGGATGAAAAGTAGAAAGAAACCTTAGTAGATAAGAGGCCATCTTGGACCTCCCAGTCCCAGCTGAAGGCCCAACGGAATCCAGATGTCTAGATGATCTCAGCTACACCAAGCAGAACAGAAACACCACTGCACTCAGTCAACACACATTTCAGTAACAAACAGTAAGCTGTCATTGCTATTAGCCACTACATTTTAGGTGGTTTATTATAGAGCAATAGATAACTTAATCAAAAATCTAGTAAGAAAAATACTGACTATTTATATTCATGAATGTTAATAATTTATCAGTACCTCAAAATGTTCCTTGATAATGTAGGCATTTGCAATTTTAACCTTGATGCCTTCATAATCTCCAACATCACTAAGACAAATTGCATACCACTAAAAATAGGAAAGAAAAAGTGTGAAAGATACTCTTAATAATAATATTCCATTCAATATAGGTAAAACTGCAATTATTTATTCCTCAGTAGTCAGTCTCATTCAATAAAAAGTTACTATCATTAAAACTGTATTAAATGTACCAGAATATACAAACAAAAGTGGACTTGACCCTCCAGGAACAATGACCACATTCTAGTTACAAAGATAAGCCTTGTTTATAAATAAAAATAATATGAGATAGAAGTGGTGAATTCTCTAAGAATTACTTATTACCAAGAAAACATGGTGTAATGAACACAGAGATAATGAATCATATTTATGGTCTGAGTATAAATTTAGAAAAACTTATGATTGAATGACTATCCTTTTGTCTTCTCATCCTCTTACTCTACTGGGATCTGCCCCTCCTCCCACAGCTGCTTTCTTGTAGTGGGAGGAGCCACACGTCTCACCTGGGATCATATACCCAATGCCATAGATGGACAACAGACCCAAACTGAGTTTTTTTCCCCAAAAGTTGAATCTGAGATATCTGTGCTTCAGCCTGTGTGATCTTTTGAACAACGCATAAACCTAGCTACTGTAGTTAGTTGTAACACTTAGGCTAAGGAGAAAAAAATGTCTACAGTAAAAAATACTTGCAGAGATCAGTGGAAAGGAGAGATAATTAACAAAGTCTCAACAGATAAATCTAACCAGTTTTCTTTGAGGCCCAAAGGCACCTTGTTTTGGGTTCTATGAGACACAATAGTTTCTTATAACAAACCCTCTACTCTGTCTTTTTTTCTTTTGCTTGTTTCAAAGTCCTGAGGTGGCAAACACAGTTTGCACTAGACTACTAACCTAAAGGTTTGTGGTTCAAACCTACCCAGCAGTGCCATGGAAGAAAGGCCTAGAAATCTGCTTCTGTAAAGATTACCACAAGGAATTCCATAAAGCAGTTCTGCGCTGTAACACATGGGTCAGCACATGTAAAACCAACTTGATAGCAATGGTTTATTTGTGTGAGATAATTTCTGGAGAATTCTTATAACGGCAAGAATTTTAACTAACACGATCTCTGCTTAAATCTACTCTCTAGAGCAGAACCCTCACACACTGTTGATGGGACTGTAAAATGGTATAACCACTATGGAAAACAGTATGATGCTTCCTTAAAAGCTGAAAATAGAAATACCATATGATCCAGCAATTCCACTACTAGGTATATATCCTAGAAAAATAAGAGCTTTGACACAAACAAATATATGCACACTCATGTTCATCACAGCACGATTCACAATAGCAAAAAGATGGAAAGAATCTAAATGCCCATCATTGGAGGAATAGATCCACAAACTATGGTACATACACAACAGAATACTACACAACATTAAAGAACAATGATGAATCTGCAAAACATCCCCTAACATGGATAAACTCAGAGCCCATTATGCTGAATAAAATTAGTCAATCACAAAAGGATAAATACTGTAAGACAATACTATTATAAAAAGTTAAGAAAAGGGTTTCTCAAAAAAGAAATACCCTTTGATGGTTATCAGGGGTGGGAAGGGAAAGGAGGGTAAACCACTAATAAACATATATTAACTTGGTTGAAGAGAAAGTAAAAAAAAAAATTTAATATTCATATGTTATATGAAGAAGGACGGAACCATCCACTTCTGAAACAAACTGGCCACTGAAAACCATATGAATAGCAGTGAAATGGTGATACATTATGGGAAAACTTTATGAAATGAGTATTACAGGAACAGTATCTGCCAGAAGATGAGCCCCTCAGGTTGGAAGACACTCAAAATACAACTAAGGAACAGCTGCCTCTGTAAAGTAGAATCAACCTTAATGATGTGGATGGAGTAAAGCTTTTGGGACCTTCACTTGCTGATGTGCCATGACTCAAAATGAGAAGAAACAGCAACAAACATCCACTAATATTTGGAATGTGGAATGGACGACACATGAATCTAGGAAGTTGGAAGTTGTCAAAAATGAAGTGAAACATATAAAGATTAATATCCTAGGCATTAGTGAGCAGAAATGGACTGGTGTTGGCCATTCACTTTGAATTGGACAATTCTATGGTCTACTATGCCATGAACGACAAATTGAAGAGGAATGGCATCACATTCATCATAAAAAAGAACAAGTCAAGGTCTTTCCTAAAGTACAATGCTGTTAGTGATAGGATAATATCCATACACCTACAAGGAAGACTGGTTACTACTACTATTATTCAAATTTACACATCAATCACTATAACCAAAGATGAAGAAATTACAGTCTGTCATCACTTCCGCAGTCAGAAACTGACCAAACATCCAATCAAGATGTACTGATAATTACTGGTGACTGGAATGCAAAAACTAGAAACAAAGAAGAAGCACCAATAACTAGAAAATATGGCCTTGGTGAAAGAAATGATGCCAGAGACCGCATGACAGAATTTTGCAAGACTAAGGACATATTCATTGCAAACACCTTTTCCCAACAACATAAATGGCAATGACACACATGGATCTAGCTAGATGGAATACACAAGAATCAAACTGACCACATCTGTGGAAAGAGACGATGGAGAAGCTCTCTATCATTCAAAACAAAGCCAGGAACTGTGGAACAGACCATTAATTGTTCATATGTAAGATCAAGTACAATGCTGTCAGTGATAGGATAATATCCATACGCCTACAAGGAAGACCCGTTAATATGACTGTTATTCAAATTTATGCCCCAACCACCAAAGCC